TCAATTTGTCACTTTCACGAGGTTGGAGAAATAACATATTCAGCTACTGAAGACATTGGCTTGAATATATAACAGGCTGTGCCTTTAGATTGAGAAAAACGTTTTTTTATCACTTCTCATTGACTTCTCAAACCCCAAACCTCGGCCTGGTCTGTTCGGTCTGTTTTGAAAGTGTTCCCGGAAGTCTCGCGGTATTGCACCTCTGGGTTTAGAAACTCTGTGGTGGCATGGTGCTCTCAAAAAGTCACGACTTGGCATAATGTTTATATCATCACAATTCACATCTAGTTGGACCTCAATGAAGAATATGCTCATGTGAATATTGTGTAGGAGACACAGAGGGAATGCCAGGCCTTCATCTTCACCTTAATTCTGCTCGATAAGCTGTCAGATACAGTTGAAGTCGGAAGTTTACATACACCTTAGCCAAATACATTTAAACTCTGTTTTTCACAATTCCTGACATTTAATCCTAGTAAAAATTCCCTGTCTTAGGTCAGTTAGGATCACCACTTTATTTTAAGAATGTGAAATGTCAGAATAATAGTAGAGTGATTTATTTCAGCTTTTATTTCTTTCATCACAATCCCAGTGGGTCAGCCATTTACATACACTCAATTAGTATTTGGTAGCATTGCCTTTAAATTGTTTAACTTGGGTCAAACATTTCGGATAGCCTTCCACAAGCTTCCCACAATAAGTTGGGTGAATTTTGGCCCAGTCCTCCTGACAGAGCTGGTGTAACTGAGTCAGGTTTGTAGGCCTCCTTGCTCGCACAGGCTTTTTCAGTTCTGCCCACACATTTTCTATAGGATTGAGGTCAGGGCTTTGTGATGGCCACTCCAATACCTTGACTTTGTTGTCCTTAAGCCATTTTGTCACAACTTTGGAAGTATGCTTGGGGTCATTGTCCATTTGGAAGACCCATTTGTGACCAAGCTTTAACTTCCTGACTGATGTCGAGATGTTGCTTCAATATATCCACATCATTTTCCTTCCTCATGATGCCATCTATTTTGTGAAGTCCACCAGTCCCTCCTGCAGCAAAGCACCCCCACAGCATGATGCTGCCACCCCCATGCTTCACGGTTGGGATGTTGTTCTTCGGCTTGCAAGTCCCCCCTTTTTCCTCCAAACATAACGATGGTCATTATGGCCAAACAGTTCTATTTTTTGTTTCATCAGACCAGAGGACATTTCTCCAAAAAGTACGATCTTTGTCCCCATGTGCAGTTGCAAACCGTAGTCTAGCTTTTTTATGGCTGTTTTGGAGCAGTGGCTTCTTCCTTGCTGAGCGGCATTTCAGGTTATGTCGATATAGGACTCGTTTTACTGTGGATATAGATACTTTTGTACCTGTTTCCTCCAGCATCTTCACAAGGTCCTTTGCTGTTGTTCTGGGATTTATTTGCACTTTTCGCACCAAAGTACGTTCACAATTGTTGAAAAAATACTTGTGTCATGCACAAAGTAGATGTCCTGACCGACTTGCCAAAACTATAGTTTGTTAACAAGAAATTTGTGGAGTGGTTGAAATATGAGTTTTAATGACTCCAACCTAAGTGTACGTAAACTTCTGACTTCAACTGTAAATATATCAGTTCCTTCTTCCTGTCTGACAGTAATCTACTGTAGCCAGAGAAAGGTTACAGAGATAATAAAGAATAAAAGTGTTCCAACACTCCGCTCTCTGCATAACACTTTTCTTCTCACTGCCATCTGTGTTGTTCTTTGTAATCTGCCATAGAAGTGTGTGTGTGTGTGTCTACCATCGTGCCAACTACAAAGCTAGAGAACATGTTCCACAGCATGAAACACAGATATGATACATGATGCACTGTACACTACAATGTTGTAGTAAATACTAGCACATCTGCAAATCATGGGGGGAAACCCATTTCACCCCGCATACATCACTCTGTTGGCCCTGTCTGTTGTCCTCATTCTGTCTTAATGTCCATCCCCTGAAACCCACCAACTCCCAATCTTCACCGAATATAGATTTAGTATAGAAACATTATTTGAACCACAGGTGCATGCAATAAATTCTCCATGGGTGAGTGAGTGTGATAACTTACAAAGGACAACTTACACATTAAAGGTAACTCTATGATGATATCTAACTGGAGCTTATTTTAATTTTTATGTCCCCATGTGCCCCTTTGAAGATATTATAACAAAGCTTTCTAGGTGCATGTGTGGTGCGCTGGTTGGGGTACATTCTTTATTAAACAATGCTTGAATGCCATGGAACATTGAGTCATGTTGCACAGCAGTGGAACAATGGCTCTGTGTACTGTCGCTACCATCTGCTGCAGTCTGTGTTTGCTTGCCAGAGACAGATTGTGTCTGCCCTGTTTGTTGTCACAGCGATGTCTGAAGGCTAGAATCACTTCTGGAATAGAGAGATACCAAGGTCTCTAGACTCTAGAGAGCAACACAAACAAAAATAAAAAGTCAGATACAATTCAAATCATAGGAAAATATCTGAACTTCATCTTTTTCAACACTTCCCAAAACATAGGCAATGACTTCTTATATTCCTTTTTAGAAGTGGAGGCATCATATCATGTCCTTTCCAAATTGCTTGAATGTCTTACGTTATGTAAGTTTCAGTGTGAGACCTCCTATGCTAATTTTGACCTCAAGGGGGAATCATAAGCCACAGATGACAATATCACGTGCATCCTACCACTGTCACATTTTGCATGAACGGTTGGGCAAATTATAATTTTACATTTACATGGCTTACACAGTCTACAGACTGCTTTTAAAAGTCATAGTTATTGGCTAGCCGGAGCATTGTAAATAAATGCAAAAGAAAGTTTGATGTTCCTAACAGACTGGACATTTTTGTGGAATGAGCTAACATGTAACTAAAGCCAGAAATCATATGTTTATCAAGAGATTTACTCTATACACCAACTAATTGGTTCCAGTAACCAGTTGCATAAGCAGGCTTATTTTAACTTCCAAACTTACATAACAATCTCCACTAAGTGGCTAGGCAGCTGGCACACACGTTTATCAACAAAAGACAGAGAGGGAAAGACTAGAAAGATCTGTGTATGTGTAACTCATTGTTACCTCATTCATTATGCCAACTCCAGATGACCAGGTTGGACACCTCAAGTTGGACACCTCAAGTTGGACACCTCTCTGTAATGCTTCAGTGCTGTTAATGTATTACAGAATGTTTTTCCATTCACGGGACAAGTAAAAAAACATTGCATGCTTTACACATCAATGTGAAAACAACTACATACAGATGGTTTTATAAGACCTTTATTTATTGTTCACCTTTTCATCATATAAAATTAGCTTGGTGATACAGTATCTGAACGGCATATTATGTGATAAACAATCTACATTAATATCTGATTTCCTATAGACACAGATATGACAGTTGAGGCAACAACAACTGAATTGAAATTGTAACTCAACAAAGCACTGCTTATCCTTTGACAATACATGAGCTCCATTTTCTCATTAATACCCTAAAATATGAGATATTTTCCTTTCTAAAAGGGCTATATGCATTAAGATAACATGTTGATAGACCTTCTCTCGAACTAATATCAGCGAAAATCATTGCAAAACTGAAGAATACCATGCACAGGGCTTTTCTTATTGACATGCATTATTCCTTCAACAAATTGGTGAACATCTAAATAAGACTGCCATTATATACTCATACTACCTTTTGTACCCTTACAAAAAAAAAAACGGATGAAAAAAATCACGTGGTTTTCAGACACATTCATTACGTGTGAACAAATCACGTGATTCATTTTAGAGTCATATGCATGGTTTTTGGACATGTGTGAAGTTTCACATGTGACATTTTTCACGTGTTTTTCCCTCATGGGAGGGAGAAAAAATCCTCACCTGACGTTTTTTTAAACTCAATTATTTTAACCACTTCCAGCTACTCTCCCATCCAGGGACCAACCAGGATCGACTCTGCTTAACTTCAGAGGCAAACCAGCAGTGGGATGCAGGGTGCTATGTTGCTGGAATGATTGTGCCAAAACTTGCAACTGGAAAAAAGGCAGCAAAAGCAACGGCCAGGCATTTTATTTCATTGTGTTATGATTTTAAAAATAATCACTGAAAACTATTATTTTGCATTCATTTAGAATTAATTTGTTCTTGCATTTCAAAACGATTTCCTCGCAATATTTTGTTTTGCTATCAATACTTTTGGGTTTATGTTTTGCTTTCAATATCTTTATTTTTGCTTGCAATACTAAGAATTTTGTTCTCGACTTCAGAATCCGCTGAAAAACATCCCCACAGCATGATGCTGCCACCACGCTTCACCATAGGTATGGTACCAGGTTGCATCCAGACGTGACGCTTGGCATTCAGGCCAAAGAGTTCAATCCTGGTTTCATCAGACCAGAGAATCTTGTTTCTCATGATCTGAAAGTTCTTTGGGTGCCTTTTGGCAAACTCCAAGCGTGCTGTCATGTGCATTTTACTAAGGAGTGGCTTCCGTCTAGCCACTCTACCATAAAGGCCTGATTGGTGGAGTGCTGCAGAGATAGTTGTCCTTCGAAGGTTCTCCCATCTCCACAGAAGAACTCTGAAACTCTGTCAGAGTGACCATGTGATTCATGGTCACCTCCCTGACCAAGGCCCTTCTCCCCCAAATGCTGTTTGGCCAGGCAGACAGCTCTAGGAAGAGTCTTGGTGGTTCCAAACTTCTTCCAATTGAAGAATTATGGAGGTCTGAATACTTATGTAAATAAGTTGTTTTTTATTTTTAATACATTTGCAAAAATGTCTAAAAACCTGTTTTTGCTTTGTCATTATGGGGTATTGTGTGTAGATTGATGTGAAAAATGTAATCCGTTTTAGAATAAGGCTGTAACGTAACAAAATGTGGAAAAAGGGAAGGGGTCTGAATACTTTCCGATGGCACTGTATGTGACGTAATATGCAATTTTCAGGGACCACTTTTAATTTGTGTGCGCTACTTTCAGAACTACTAGCTAAAAATTATACATTTACATTTTAGTCATTTAGCAGATGCTCTTATCCATTTTGTTCCACATTTTGAGCTCAGTTGCATCCTGTTTCTATTGAACATCCTTGAGATGTTTCTACAACTTGATTGGAGTCCACCTGTGGTAAATTCAATTACAGTAGTGAGTAGATACATTTTTCATACTTGTCCTCCGTTGGAATCAAACCCACAACCCTGGCGTTGCAAGCGCCATGCTCTACCAACTGAGCCACACGGGACCATGTACATACAAGAAAACAAACCATTTCTGAACACAAAATGAAACACACAAAGACAATGGACACATTAAATAGGTGCCTAAACAAATCCAGAAAAAATCTACAGTCAACTACAGTTTAATCAATTTACAGTTAAACTGATACGACCACTAAGTTATTTACATAAAAGACCACTGATTAAGCCACTGTACCACGACAAATGCAGTGGATAAGGATTATCATAGATAATAAGGACATTTTCAGCTGCAATAAATAGAGCAAAAAGGCAGAGACAGGGGGTCAATTGGCATTAGGATTGTATCTCAGTACTAGACACAGGGGTAAATCCTAACTTCCACTTACTGTAAGTAAAATTTTCACTTTAGTCTCCCATTCACATCAGTGCATGACTAAGTGAAAATTCGACTTAAGTGGCAGTTAGGGTTCCTCCATTGTGCGCAGGGCAGGTTCAGTTAAGACACTGGAATGTTTTAAAGGGGCGGAGTGCTGGTGTGCCAGACAGTCAGTCAGCTCAGTTAGTACACAGGCTTGTAGAGGATCTGTCCGTTGAGCAGCCTGCGTTTGAGCTCCTTCCACAGCAGGCTGCGCTCCCTCTGGGATCCCTTCATGAAGCCCCGGTTCTCCAGGGCACGGCGAGACAGGTAAGGGATGACCTCGTTGACTGGGCCGTAGGGGACGTACTTGTACACTGGGAATCCAGCCTGGCCTATTCTCAGACAAAGAGACAGAGATGGAGAGGGAGTGTGAGACATGTTACATGACTGGAGAAACTACAACAGGCAATACGTTTCACACGAGCACAAAAAAACATTAGAACTTAATTACATGTGAGGTATTTTTGTCTAAACGTTTATGTTTCTAAACTAATTTTGCAAATCAATAGAAAGCAATATTATATAACAACAAAATGTGTAAGGAGAGCTATGGTATGGTATCAGGTGACTGAGTGAGACCCTAAGGTTGTTGTTTGTTTCACAGTCATCTATAGTTCAGTCGGTGGTATGGAGGCTCTAAGATTTCTCAGAATTTCAGACTAAAATGCCAATCAATAAATCTTGAACTCCAATAAACCCATTGATTATGCAACAACAATCTACAGTACTGTGTTGATATTACTGTACCTAGAGGGAAGCTGATCTGGTCACACATGCCGAGCAGCTGTCCAAAATAGACCTTGTTCTCAGTGGGGGACAGAGCCATCTCGTTCATCCTGCAGAAACAACACAGATGGGTTGTAAATATTCAACAACATAACACTGCTCAATAATAAACATCACCTCACTGATGTAAGCATTTATATAATACATTTGGTTTCTATGATGTGGTGTCACTATTGGTTTGGTGCTTTGTGTAACAAAATGTATGTACAAATTAACTAGCTGATGCACGTCCTACCCTAAATTAGTCTAACTGCCTCTTGATTTGAATAAAGCCCAGAGGCTGGCCTTACTTTTCCAGGGTGAATTTGACAGTGTCCTCGTTGTGTGACGCCACCATGACATTAGCCTTTCTGTTGTGGTCGATCTCCTCCAACACAAACTCTAAACACCTTCAGAGGATCAGGGAAAAGACCAGGAACTTCAGCTAATCCATTCAGCTGATATAATGATTTCATCACATAATGCATATCCTTATTCAACCAATTAAATAACAATTTACTAAAGTCACACAGAACGCCAGTGGGAGTAGGGTGAAGTTGATCTTAGGTCAGTTTTGCATTTTCCACAGTAATGGTTAAGGTTAGGGGAGGGAAGCTGATCCTAGATCTGTCCCTAGGGGAAACTTCACACCAGAGCACGTAAGGGGCCTTACTTGTGGTACATTCTGTTGGTGGCCTCATAATCTGGGTTGATGGGGTCCTCATAGCCGATTTCCTCCGCTCTGCTCCTCTCCTGGTACATGTAGGCGCCGCGAACCAGCTTGGCCCCAAAGTACCAGCCCTCACGCCGGGACAGCTCCACGTCCACAGACACATTGTCATACGCTTCCTGTATAAGTCATAGGTCACACAATTATATAACGCTATGGTTAACAACACAAATATTGCCATTCAAGTCACCTGAGTGTCCATAACATCTCTTATAAAGGATAAATTAGTAACACAGTCATGTTATTTTCATTTGATATGTTCATATCAGGTTTATGTGTACACACCTTATCATAAAACTAAAAAGATGCAGCATAAACATGGATATGGCAGGTTTAAAAGGTTTATATAGTAGGTTGGTCTTTTACAGGTTAAATATGGAAGGCTTTTATGGGTTAACTATGAAAGGGCTTATGAAACCGGTTGTCCTCTATTCCTAGGGGCACGACAAGTCTATACATAGAGGGCCTCCCTGCATACATAATCTATGCGATTGTACATGTAGTCCCGACAGTCCCGAGCTTGACAAAAATGCAGATGAACAACAACAACCAGAGATGATGGGGGGTGTTGAGAACGGTGTCAAGGCCTCACCTTGAGGTAGCACTGGTAGGTATTAAAGATGATGGGCTTCTCTCTGTTGAAGATCCTCTGCATCTCCAGGGTCAGTCTGCTGATGGCCGGCTGAAAGTACGTCTGCTCAGCGTCCACCATCAGCCTCACCCCATTGTCCACTGCATGCTGGGATACGAGAAGCAACAACAGCTTTCTGTTAACCCCTGCTGAGCTTTAACCCTAGGTACCTCCTGGGATAGAAATGGTGCTTTACTTCAACACAAAAGTGAAGACATTTGTCTGGATCACTTGAAACATTTCAGTGGTCATGTTATGCCTTCTTTTCTATTTCTGAGCATTTGGAAGCATTTGGGCCATTGCTATCTACTGTTGCCTTTAGTCCAGCCATGATAATGTAATTATCTATAGAGACTCACTTCAGAACAGACAGACTCTGGATACAACACGTCATAGTAGTAGACTCTTGCTCCTATTGGAGGAGGGTAATTACAATTCAAACCTTTCCCAACAATGACGACATTACTGAAGTTGCATTATTCTTTTTTTAAGTTAGTAAATCTGACAAACAAAACTAATTGCCAAAAGGTTTATTTCCAATAAACGAATGGTATGGCCTGCTCACTGAGGCAGGGCAGAGAGTAAGATAAGTTTCTCCGTAAAATTTGAGATATACTGCATCCCATGATCCATGTGACCAGCTAGGTCAATATACTGTTGTTAACCAACTGTTCAATTGTAAAACCATGTTAGGCAACAGTGCCTTATATTGAACTCTAGAATCACCTTACCTTGGCCAGAACATCCACTCTCTGCAGCATCCTCTTCATCTGTTTCTCCTCTTCAACAGTGAACTTCCTCAACAGAGGCTCCAGCTGACCAGTCTAGAAGACCAGCGGAAACTGACATTTCATTAAGGGTAAACTTTGACTTGAACTACAAAATGCATTCATGTATGCATGCATATACTGTATGTACACTGCATGGATGGATGGATTTGAGCTTGTACTTCAAGAGTTTGTGTACAAACACATTCAGGTGGATAGCATACAGTATGCATACCTGCATGTTAAATATTGTAAGGGTATGTAAATGTGTGTGTGTGTGTGTGTGTGTGTGTGTGTGTGTATATGTATATGTGGCTAGCTCACCTCAAAGTTGGGAATGACGAGCAGGTTTGAGATCGATGTTCTGTCGTTGATCAAGCTATTCCAGTCCAGGAGGTCTATTGTTCTGGGGAACATGAAAATGGCAGATTCAAAGTCAAATCCAGTCCTGTACACACATCCTATCCATTGAATAGTAGATAGTCTGTGTGCTCATGATGCATTCCAGGTGAGTTTAACCGCTTACCCTGATAAGCCCAGTTTCTCTCCAGTAAACCAGTTCTCAATGTCGTCTTTATTTCCAACACCCAGCTTAGTCAAACTCTCCTACGGGAAACAAAATGATTTCCAAAAATGTAATAATATTGATAACTAGGCTACTACTGATGAAACATTAACGAAATAGGGAATCACTAGCCTTTTTTCCCCCCCCACAGGTGTTTTTGTCTCAAAGAAGCTAATCTGCTTTTTAAGCTGGGAATCTGCTTGACTGCAGTCACATCTCTACTTTGAGTGTTGCTCTAGGCGACACGCACCTTCAGTTGCTCCAGTTCCAGTTTCTGCTCCAGTGCGTGCATGCCCGACTTCCCCTGCTGTGCTGCCAACAGGTTGAAGAACCTCCTCCATTTCACCAGCACCTCAGAGAACTGGAGCTGGAGAGGGGAGCAGCAGAAAGGTCATAAAACCAAACAAACAAAGCTGCACTCTGTCACGATCACTGCCCATGTTAAATCAAGGGCTAAAAGAGAGAGTCTAACAGGCAGAGGGTCTTACTCACCAGGAACTGTGGGCGGCCCAGGGCAGTCATCTTAATGGCAGAAAATCCATCTACAGAGGCCCCCCCTGAGAGGAATAATAAAGATAAAACATAATATTTAGTGCAGCAATAACACCACTGATAAATAGATCATAAGAATCCTATTATGCATGATATAATAACATCTGCAAAGAGTCTGCAATGAGTTTGACCTTTCAAGGATGTTTAGAAAAATGTTATGAATTCACTGCATTTTATTGTGTGCTCACCTGAGGCTTTGATGCAGTTCAGGAAGGTCTCCATTTGGTTGTCACACTTGGCCTCATCAGCATAGAAATAGGTCCTGGCACTGATCACGCCCCCACGACGGTCCCCAAACTGACGGTGGGCCTTGTACTTCTTCTCACGGTGGTCAATGCCTACAATCAGAAGACAACATGAGACATCTATCTAGGCAACCAGACTTTCCTCTAGACTAGAGTAGCCACACCGACCACTGGCAGGAAAGGACAGGAGAGTAGCCTAGTGTCAATAGGAATGACCCTCACCACCATCACCTAAATAATCTACTGCAGGACTAATTTGGCACAGATACCTGAAGATCTTTTTCTTTAGAACATCAGTCTTAGCATATATCAGCATAAACACATGCTTGAGCAGGCATGTGCTTCTTTAATACAAATACTGACCCATATGTACACCATATCATTCTTGGGAATGTGGAAAATTAGTCAAAAGAAGTCAAAGAAAATAGATGTTTAGATATCTAGTGCCACTCAGAAAATAATACATGGGGGGAGAGAGAGTTACATAAATTTAAGTCCAGGGCCCCAAAACATGCAACACATGACATGAACCAGGGTTTCAGCTGCTCTCCTAACTTAACATGCATACCTGCCCTCCTTAACCCCTCTCCTAGCCTCCAGAGTAAATCCAGATAAAACCAGTTGCCTCAACCATGCAAACTCTCATGTCACCTCATGTAAGAGTCCTATATCAACCCTTAAATGACTGCTGGCATAGACCCAGGAGGTTAGCATTCAGGCACACTGCTGAAGTAACAGACATTTTGGCAATGTGACCCCGCTGCTATCACTCCCCACACCTCCACCAACCAGATGGCTTGATGCATCAGAAATAAAAACATTTCTATCAAGTAGTAACATTTACTGTAGTCATGTTCCTGCGTTACGAAGTATTCACTAGTTGGCACTACAACAAATTAAGTGCACATTAAGTCAATCAAAGTATTGTAAATGAAAACTCATTTTCAGTTGTTTATCAGTTTCCATCAACAAATACACACCTGGACTTTCTTTCTCAGCTTCAGACACACAGGAGCTGAAAAATATGAAACATCAAATTAACATGACATAACACTACTAGGTCTAATATCACTGCCAGTCTGCCACCACTACTATAACGACAAATAATAATTGTAAAAGTGTTCAGTACCATATAAGATGTTGGACATCATGTTGAAGTAAGTAGATGAGGTGGAAGATGAGGTCTTGAACTGTATTATGAGTTATAATTTCATAACTCAAGGTCGTGCGCTAAAGATTATCACGTTTTGTGCCAGGCTCCACATGCAGGTGCTGTTAATATCAGTTTGAGCTCAGCGTTTCACAACCTATCCAGTGAGTTTGCCAATATGTTGACTGTGCTATATATGGTACGCATGGCAGCACAGGGGGCCTAACGTTATGTAGAAGTGCAAATGTCCTGCTATTTGATCTCTTGTACTGTTGTGGACTTCTGATAAAGAGTGCTGACTGTGAGTCACAAGGGGGGCTATTTCAAAACCTCAGTGCATCACACATGGCCTAGGTTAATCCAGTAAGATCCTGTCTAGATCCACAACTCTACAATCCAAGTTTGAATAAAATGAAGGATAATGATCTTTCATTAGCACATTACTGAATTGATTTTTTTGAGCTATTGGTTGTCTCAGTGGCTGCATCGCTCAATGTTATTAGGGCCTCACGATACGATCACGATACTTAGGTGTCGATACAATATGTATTGCGATTCTCACGATTCTATATGTATTGGGATTCGATATTGCGATTTGCTGTCCCAAACATATTGCTCACTATATGTCTGCTGCAGAGAGACAAGAGAGCATGAGAAAACTAGTTTTGATCAGTCAAGGAAATAAAAGGGCTGAAAACATGTTGGCTCACTATTTAAAAAGAAGATAGAGAACAAGCTATAGGATGAAAAATATTGGAGTTTTGGCACAGGTGGAGCGGACAAGCACTACCTACAGCAGCACATTTGAGTTGTATTATTTATTTTTTCACAATCGATACTTGGGAGTCAAATATCTACATTGAGTATACCAAACATTAGGAACACCTTCCTAATATTGAATTGTGCAACCCTTTTGCACTCAGAACCGCCTGAATCCGTCGGGGCATGGAATCTCCAAGGTGTCAAAAGCTTTCCACAGGGATGCTGGCCCATGTTGACTACAATGCTTCCCCCAGTTGTGTCAAGTTGGCTAGATGTCCTTTGGATGGTGGACCATTCTTGATACACAAAGGAAACTGTTGAGCATGAAAAAAAACAGCAGAGTTGCAGTTCTTGACACAAACCGGTATGCCTGGCACCTACAACCATACCCCGTTCAAAGGCACTTAAATATTTTGTCTTGCCCATTCACCCTCTAAAATGGCACATATACACAATCCATGTCTCAATTGTCTCAAGGCTTAAAAATCCTTATTTAACCAGTCTCCTCCCCTTCATCTACACTGATTGAAGTGGATTTAACAGGTGACATCAATAAAGGATCACAGTGTTCACCTGGATAGTCTGTGTCATGGAAAAAGCAGGTATTCTTAATGTTTTTTTATACTCTGTGTATATAATAATTTCCCAAAATAATATCGCGATATGTAACTATCAATTTTTTACACCATCACTAAATATTATCTGGAGATAAATATTTGCACAGGCTGACTGTACAATCTGAATGGAAATTTGAACATCCTTTAGTTGAGTCTGGAGGTTTGGAAGCCATAGACTTCAGAAAGTCAATCAAAGCATGTCCTTTGCCAAAGTTAATAAAAAAAGGTTGACCAGAACTCTGGTACACTCCCACAATGATGAATTCACAACAAGTTGATCCTGTACGGACGGACCATCATCACATTAGGAGGGTGTTAAAGCCTTACTTGTGTGAACAATTCCAGTGAATATGAGTAATCCTTTTCTCTGGTACATTCAATTATTAACAAGAGAGGAGAGGATGTTATGTGTTATTCCATCAATGTAGTTTGGCTCTAAAGGTGCAAATTAGTCTCCTCATGTGAAGAGTTCCACAGCAATGATGAGGTAAGGCCAGAATGTTACCAAGTTTGCCTTTGATGGTATCACTAACCCGTTCACTGTATTCCCATCCACCACCCCACCCCCTGGCTCACCTTTGACCTGTTGCTGAGACATTGCTATGCAGCATCTCCTTCCCTAATCATGATGTTACATGAGAACAAACCGGAGGAGATGGAGAGGGTGGCAGCTGGCTGATGGGTAACCCAAAATACTGAGCCACGTAGTACACAGCACCATCTAGGCTGTTCCATAACTTGCAATGATTTGTAGACCCCAATGTTGTCATATATGGACATTTTCCTTATGGTTGAGTTGATGGAGACAGCAGAATATTGTTCACAACATGATTACCGCAACATGTTTTTAATAACGAAATGCATGCTGTGTATGCATAAATGGTATGTATCACTGAATCGTTCTGTAACACAAAATATACCATAATAACATATTATGTTAACATTTAATTTATTTCTGCTGGACTCAAGCCCCTTCCTCAAATGTACACTTTAATTGGAACCATTCAGTTGGGCCTCTTCAGTATTCCGCCTGTTAGTTCAGCTTGAGTGTGTGCATAGCCCATCTAAGAAAATCCCTAACCAAACATGGGGGGGCTGTTTTCCAAAACACATTACATAACACTTCCTGGGCCTCCTTCGAAAGAGTGCGTCAAGTTACCCAACAAGGCTGGCTTGTCTCAATCCACCTCATGTGACTGCATTCTCAAAAGGGACTGGAATAAATGTGCTCCTTCACCTCAACAAATCAGGAGAGAGGGGTGTGTCTGAACTGACCAATAGTGTCTGGGTATTGCTGGGCAACGTCAGATACTGAAAGTGATGCATGAAAAAAGAAATCTGGTGGGAAGCTGTAAACACAGCTTTTTATGAATATGAAACATGAGTAGGCCTGTGGGTTTGAGAGGGAGAGAGACAGACATAGCAGGGAGAACCTACATTAAAATCTGAGAAAAGTGCAACATATGAAACTGTAACCCATAACCTTTGCAAATAGTATTGGATCAGATAGGATGACTTTGACAGTGGCATTTTGCCATAGGTCAATTGCATAACATGTTTACATAGTGGCCACTGAGTTAGCAGTATAGGCATCTCACTCTATAGCACATAGCTAGAAATAAATAAATGATTCCTAATCAATAACTTATGAAACTAGAAAATGTGGAAGCTTGTGTTTGAAGTGTTGAGCCCTATATCCTTTATTAGAGTTATAGAGGCCGGGTTTGTGAGATATAGACTAGGAATGACAGAGACTACTTACTCCATCTCCTTCTTCTCTGCCTCCTCCTGGGTCAGGTCCTCCTCCACACTGTAATCCAGGACTGACCCCACACCAAAGGCCTGGTTCTTATGGATCAGAGGCTTGATGGAGTTGTGGTCCTCCCCAGCCACAAACTGCCCGTAGAACGTCATCTTCATCAGCCTCTCAAACAACCGCTTGCCAAACACCTTCTTGCTGAGGTCCATCAACTGAGGACAGAGCAAATAATCAACGGAGTTAGACCCATGTAAAGTATTGTGAGCTATAACTTGGAAAATACATAAATGTGACTCTGGATGACAACACAATTGTTTGTTTCCAACATTAGGGCTGTTTTCCTAGAAGTTAAATCTGCTTCATGTTTTGTTTCCTTGCCACGATGCTAACGAGTATCGAGATACTGGTATCGTCCCGGCCTATTAATTGTATCCACCCAGGACCTGATCTGAGAAAACCACCACCGTTTGACTTAGGTTCATGTGCAATGCACATTTAACTTTCAGTCACAAAATTCAATGCAAATGGTATGATAGCCTAGGCTACTTGTACACCTGGAAATGTCAGGAAACGCTTTGTCCCACAATCACGCCAGCGTGATTTAGTGCTTCCAAACCCTTTTAAACATTGTGTCTCTGTGCTACAGACTTGTGCAATTAATGAGGGCTGAGCTACAGCGGTGTTTGAGACAAGGCCGGATCCCGAAGACGGTTCTTCTCACAAAAACATCTGTAAAGTCCGAACGGTTTGAACTGCAAACTATTTACGACCTCACAAGCCACACAATAATTAGAAGACTATAGGAAATCCCAGGACATAGTGTCTATAATACTGTAATAATCTCACATAGTTGCTGTCACAAACTCCACACAGTTGTCACTTACTAGTTGGATCTTCATTTCCCACTGAGCAAACAATTTCTGTATTTACAGCATTCTTATAAATGCATTTTTTTTTTAAATCAGGTTTTTGCTTGGCGGACCTTATTTAGATATTGACATTTGTCAATAAAACTCATGAATGCAACTGTTTATGTCAAATTGTTTTGTGTTCTACCTGTAGCCCTGGTTGTCCTTAAAATAAAAATGGTAAAACACTTCAATGTGAGGCTAAATATGAGTAGTCTCCAGGGGCGCAACTTTAACTGGGGATGGAGGGAACATGCTTTAGGACCATGCGGACGCCTCCGAGCAGCCGGGTAGGCTATTTGGAGTGTTTATCTGACTGGATTAAAAAGAAATAAAAAATGTTCCCCCCACTTCTAAAACCAAAATTGGGCCCATCCTCTCAACATCCTTGACTTGCGCGCTATGTAGTCACGTGGGTCGCGCGTCAAGCAAATTAAAATATGAGGGCAGAGCAAATGAATGAAAGTAGTGAATTGGAACTTTTTCACTGTGAGAATCCCTTGGACCCTTGTTAACAAGCTGTTCTTGTTTTTCCGCATGAATGTTTAATAATGTCTATTTAACAGTCAAAAATGTTATCGCTTGTATCATAGTTCTACTAACCACACCTACTACTAACCACAATGTAACAAAAACAATCTCATCAAAATAATATCCGTACCTCCTTGTTCTTGTCAACGAGGAAGTCGAATGTGCAAAGCTTGAAGACCAACAGACTTCTAAGCAGCTCAATGTTATTTTTACTTTTATATGCTTCATGCGTATTATCAAAGTCGATTGCGATCTTCTGTTTTTGAGCATCGGTGTTATTTTTTGTTTGGCTGATGAGGTCAGCTTGAACAGCTTTCACCACGGTGCACTCATCAACTTGCTGCTCTTCTTTCCCTCCTTCAACCTCCTTACGTTTCGTGGATGCGACCGTGGACCGAAATCTCCCCTGAGACAAGCATATTCTCTTGATGTTGTCAGAATTTGCCCTGACTAGAGCTGGTACTACTTTAGTGTACGACATTAGTTTAGCTGTATTTAAAGCAGTTAGAAAACCGGTTTCTTGTGTTAGAGGGCGCGTGGTTATATCCCTTTTAGTTCGTGGCTAGACTGACAGAATTGGTGCGCGCGCGCACTATTTAGAACCCAAGGACCGCCTACTAGTAGTCGGCACTCCTACTCTGACGCATCTGGCATGAACTCAGTGTTATGAGGAACTCCCCCTCCAAACTGTTATTCTGCAAATATTAAGGCTACAGCATGTCCTTCATAAGAAATCAAATCAAAGGTGAAATATGGGTTGTTGAAACATACATCTTATAAAGACTTGTCAAATTTAGGTTCATGAACTAGGAAATTATAAATTTTAGTCATTTAGCAGACGCTCTTATCCAGAGCGATTTACAGGAGCAATTAGGGTTAAGTGCCTTGCTCAAGGGCACATCGACAGATTTTTCACGTAGTCGGCTCGGTGATTAGAACCAGCGACCTTTCGGTTACTGGCACAACGCTCTTAACCACTAAGCTACATGCCGCTTTAAAATGTTTAGTCATTTAGCAGACGCTCTTATCCAGACCGATTTACAGTTAGTGAGCGCATACATTTTCATGATACCAATAGCTTTCACATTGATGTTGAGTGACTTTATGCCACGCCTGGCGCAAAAATTCAAGCAGCTCGGCTTTGTTTAATGGCTTGTGACCATCCATCTTCCTCTTGATCACATTCTAGAAGTTTTCAATCGGGTTCAGGTCTGGAGATTGGGCTGGCCATGACAGGGTCTTGATCTGGTGGTCCTCCATCCACACCTTGATTGACCTGGCTTTGTGGCATGGAGCATTGTCCTGCTGGAAAAACCAATCCTCAGAGTTGGGGAACAATGTCAGAGCAAAAGGAAGCAAGTTTTCTTCCAGGACAACCTTGTATGTGGCATGCGTCCTTCACAAAGACAAATCTGCCTGATTCCAGCCTTGCTGAAGCACCCCTAGATCATCACCGATCCTCCACCAAATTTCACAGTGGGTGCGAGACACTGTGGCTTGTAGGCCTCTCCAGGTCTCCATCTAACCATTAGACGACGAGGTGTTGGGCAAAGCTGAAAATTTGACTCATCAGAGAAGATGACCTTACTCCAGTCCTCTACGGTCCGATCATTATGGTCTTTTGCAAACCTCAGCCTGGCTCTTCTTTGCTTCTCATTGATGAAGGGCTTTTTTCTAGCTTTGCACGACTTCAGCCCTGCCCCTAGGAGCCTGTTTCGAACCGTCCTCGTCGTGCACTTCACCCCAGCTGCCGTTTGCATTCTTTTTGTAGGTCACTTGATGTCATCCTACGGTTGTTGAGTGACATTCGAATGAGTTGGCGGTCATCCCGGTCAGTAGAGAGTCGTTTTCGCCCTCTGCCGGGCTGTAGCTTTGTTGTCCCCAATGGCTGCTGCTTGACCTTGTTCTTATGAACCGCCGTCTTTGACATTTTAAGGATGGAAGCAACCTGACGCTCACTGTATCCCTCTGCCAGTAAAGCCAGAATTGAACCCTTCTTTTCCTCACTCAAAACTTTCGGCATGGTCAATAGTTATTTTATGATTAATATTACTTTTGAGGTACTATTAGCACTGTTTTTGCCATCCAGCTGGTCCTATTGCAAGAGGAAAGTGATGACCACAGCAGTGGTTTTTATACTTTTCCTCGTTAAATAACATTTGGTTCAGGTGATCACCTAATCAGTACCTAATTCAGTAGAATGAGGTGTGCCTGTGTTGGAATTCAACAGACACTGGAATGGAATGGCTGTCATACATGTAGAGATGCTGATTTAAGGAAAATTTGCAGTGGTCTCTTAATTTTTTCCAGAGCTGTATATATATATATATATATACACACATATACATATATATATATATATATAGCCTAATCTCAGCTCGTTGCCTGTATAAAAGACACCTGGGAGCCAGAAATCTTTCTGATTGAGAGGGGGTCAAATACTTATTTCCCTCATTAAAATGCAAATCAATTTATAACATTTTTGACATGCGTTTTTTCTGGATTATTTTGTTGTTATTCTGTCTCTATACATATATATATATATATATACACACACACATATATATATATACATACATATACATAATATATATATATATACACAATATACATCTATACATGTATATATATATATATATTATATATATACACACACATATATACATATACATATACATATTATACATACATATACTATATTATATAATATACACATATACATATATACATGTATATATATATATACACACACATATATACATGTATATATATATATATAAACACACCACATATATAATATATATATATATATATATATATATATATATATATATATGTACACACACATATACATATATATATATCTATATATATATATATATTATATCTATATATATATATATAATATATATGTGTGTGTGTGTGTGTGTGTGTGTGTGTGTGTGTGTATATATATATCCAGACTAGCATTATACTATCAACTCAGTGGGTTAAGCCTATTGGCAAGGTGTGCTAGTGTGTTTGCCTGATGGCTTCTGTCTGAAAATACAGCAATCGATGAGCTTATCCTACACCTTAATACTGTCTGAGAGCCAGAGTTTTACAACCATGCAGTCATAAAGGTTTTATGTTCAGCTTCTGTTTGAGAAGATAACACTTCACCCAAGTCAATACATATGCCTACATGGCCTGAAGAAATGTTGAACTAGTTGTCATTCATCCGACCATAATAGACACAGAAAATACATAAAGCATATCCAACAGAACAGAATCATGTCCTTTGTGTCAAGTTCTCTCTCTCAAATTGTTCGGTAACACTTTATTTAGATAGTCCATCTGTAGAGAGAGAGTGTGTGTGTACTGTGAGGCACTATGTGCAGCTTCCTATTGTCAACAACAGAGGGAGCCATTGACTAAGTGCTAAATCTGCTCTGTAACTGATAATGTTTTCATATGGTAGTCGGTTTTACTGGGGGTGGGGAGTTTTCTGCAGTCTGTGGTGATGTTGGTTCTGTGGGGAGGTCCCAGCGAGGTTTACAACTTGTTGCCATTACCTCTTCATACTTAATTTGCAGAACAGACTTTAGGCTAACAACCTACCGGTAGGCAACTTCATTTACTACTGTATAACGCCACCCTCTGGATGGGTAACTTTTTGGACAACACAGGAAAATATTTTATGTGCTTTTTGGAAGAAAGTCAGACATATTTCCACTGGAAAGCCCTTGGAGGGATGCTGTTCATCACAACATGGAAACAACGAGATATGTCTTAGTCATTGTGCTTCTACGTGTCTTCTGTTGTTGGACTTACAGCCAAGAACTAAATCCCAGAGGTAGAAATGTATGCAAAGCTGGGTAAGTCATTGTGTGCCAGTTTAAAAAAAAGTTTTAGGCTTGAAATTGATGGACAAAACTATTACAGTAGCCTGATTCATGTCAGTGAAGGAAGATAAACATGCATTCAATTGTTTTAGATATGTTAAAGTTTGAGATTTTCAGAATACCCAAGCCCTTCTATACACAGATAACCTTCCTCAGATCTCTGCTTATTTAGTCTACTGCTACACTGGTTCGTTGTGCCAGTAATTCCCTGCATTATGAATGCATTGACCGATTTGCATCTGAATGTGATTAGGATAATGTTCAGGATTTAAATGTATTAGTCCATTTGTCATGACTGAAATGTGATCATAATATTAGTTTGGATGGAAGGAGTTCAATTACGTTAGTTTCTATAAATCAAATACAGATGATTTCCATAATAACTAATGTTTTTTTCCCCCTCCCAGATCTGACAGGCTCCAATGCTGTAGTGGCTGGGCACAGCAAGGAGATGAGTGCTTAATACGTGAGTACTGGAAAGCCTCTATTATCCCATTCCACAAACCTGAATCAGATAATTGGGAGTAGACTCCCAAGCCATTTTTCCCTTTCATTTCTAAAAGCACAATTATTTATTGCGAACTAACTTGCCCAATGGTTTTTCTTCAGCAATTTGTGAGGGTAACTTCACCTGCAAAGAGAATGAAGTTTGTGTGCGACCCAACGAATGCCGCTGTCGTCATGGTTATTTTGGAGCCACTTGTGATACAAGTAAGTTAGTTCCCTGTTCCTCACTCACAGCTATCCTTAAAGCAGCAATCAGCAGTTGAAACAAAGTGACCTCCCTGTCCCTGTTAAGGGTAAAAGCTGAGGGATGGGGCAGGAGAAATGTAACCACTCTCAAATTCATAGACACAGCTATGGATGCAAGTACTAACCATCCATGATATCAAAATTATAGTTTAAATCATGTTTTGAGGCTATATAGTGTTTGTTAACATTTACTTTGTTTACAAACATTGGAGTAAAATAGGCTTATATTTTGGGTTCTGATGGGGTACGACAGTTGAACTAAGCTCATGAGGCATTAATTAGTTATATACTTCAAGAATCAATGGGTACATATAATTAATTTATACGTAAAGAAAAATGGATGTAGCAATTGCAGATTGCCCCTTTAAATGTAATTTTGCCATTTATTTAAAGCATAAATTCCTGTGAAAGGTAGTGTCAGTGTGTTAACACTGCAGTCATTTTCACATACAGCCAGTCCAGGTAGCCTACTTCTCAGAACTACGTAGCCTACGTCCAGAGAACTTAGTGCACAAATGATCTCATTGTTGACCCATATTTTCCTTTCATCCTCCCTGTAGAATGTCCGTCTGAGTTCTGGGGGCCTGACTGCAAGGGTAAGTGTGATTGCCATCCCAACGGGAGGTGCGATGATGTCACTGGGGCCTGCACCTGTAACCCTAATCGCTGGGGGCCAAACTGTGAGCGAGCCTGTGGCTGCCAGAAGGGCCAATGCAACCAGGAGACAGGTGCTTGTACGTGCTACGCAGGCTTCTGGGGCCCTCAGTGCTCCAACAACTGTTACTGCAGCGTCAACTCTGTGTGTGACGTGGGGACAGGTCAGTGCCACTGCAACCCCGGCTGGTATGGGAGGAGCTGCGGTGCCCAGTGTGTCTGCAACGGCTCTCCGTGTGACCAGCTCACCGGCCGCTGCAAGTGTCGAGATCGTCTGTGGGGTATTCACTGCGAGCGCATGTGCCAGTGTGTCCATGGACGCTGTAACCAGGCGGATGGATCGTGCACCTGCAGGCCAGGATTCAGAGGGAAGTTCTGTAGGGAGCCGTGTCCAGCTGGATTCTACGGACAAAATTGCAGAAACAGGTGTGTGACAGCTGTGTTGGACAAAGATGACTTACTTGGAACCACTCTGGTAGCCACATAGGTTATTTAGCTGGATAAGACATACGTCTTTGCTCTTTCAGTCTGCTGTACGGTGCCCATTGTGGTAACCATGTGGTGAAGCTGGCAAATCTAATGTGGTTTACAAACTGTTTTGAGCTGTGACACACCTAAAGAGTTTGGCCAACTGAAGCTGTTGGCAAACAAAAATAATATCTTGTCACAAGCCAGTTTCTAGCCACAAGGAAACTAGCATCGGTTGAAAGGATCTAGAAGAGGGAACCAACCATTTGGAAACACTATTCTAGCATGAATGTGACTGTAATGAATTTAGTTAGTCCATGCTATTCATGTTTTGTTACAATGTTACTGAGGACTTGGTCTTACCGTTCTTCCAGGTGTGGTCGCTGTAAAGGCCAGCAGCCCTGCAAGGTGGCAGAGGGACGTTGCATCGCATGTGAAAGCGGTTGGAATGGCACCAGGTGTGACCAGATGTGTACCCCTGGGTTCTTTGGTGAAAACTGCAAGGACGTTTGCTCATCCTGCAAAGACGGACACTTCTGCAACCGCATCAACGGCAAATGCCCCCACTGCAACCCTGGTTGGATGGGTGATCGGTAGGAATATGATTATGAGCTTCCGATCACATTCGTCATCTCTAATCAAATATAGATAAGAAAATAAAATATAATTATATCACCTCTAAGTTTGTGTGTGATCTTCAACCATTTGTGTCTTCACAGATGTGAGGTCAAGTGCCCAAATGGAACCTATGGAGAGAACTGTGTCAATGACTGCAACAGCTGCTTCAATGGGATGTGTCACTTCGCCACAGGAAATTGTCTCTGTGATCCCGGCTTCTCTGGTGCCTAGTGAGTGCAAAACATTTTACATGCAAAAATGTAATTGAATGTAATAAATAGAGAATGTAATATGGATGGTGTCGAGACCAATTTTGAAATCTCAGGCAAATAAATTTGCCACTCTTTCCTATGCAGCTGTAATGTGACCTGTTCAGCGGGTCAGTATGGGCTTAACTGTACCCAGACCTGTTCCTGCCATGACAACAACTGCAACATAGTGACTGGAGCATGTAACCTACGTAAGAACCTTTCCTAAAACAGACTTATCTAATGAGATGAGGGAAAAAAAGTGTAATGTATTCTTTTTCCAGAGAGCTTATTGGTAACATGCATTTGAAGTCGGAAGTTTACATACACCTTAGCCAAATACATTTAAACTACATTTTTCACAATTCCTGACATTTAATCCTAGTACAAATTCCCTGTCTTAGGTCAGTTAGGATCACAACTTTATTTTAAGAATGTGAAATGTCAGAATAATAGTAGAGGGAATGATTTATTTCAGCTTTTATTTCTTTCATCACATTCCCAGTGGGTCAGAAGTTTACATACACTCAATTAGTATTTGGTAGCATTGCCTTTAAATTGTTTAACTTGGGTCAAATGTGTTGGGTAGCCTTCCACAAGCTTCCCACAATAATTTGGGTGAATTTTGGCCCATTCCTCCTGACAGAGCTGGTGTAACTGAGTCAGGTTTGTAGGCCTCCTTGCTCGCACATGCTTTTTCAGTTCTGCCCACAAATGCTCTATAGGATTGAGGTCAGGGCTTTGTGATGGCCACTCCAATACCTTGACTTTGTTGTCCTTATGCCATTTTGCCACAACTTTGGAAGTATGCTTGGGATCATTGTCCATCTGGAAGACCCATTTGCGACCAAGCTTTAACTTCCTGACTAATGTCTTGAGATGTTGCTTCAATATATCCACATAATTTTCCTTCCTCATGATGCCATTTATTTTGTGAAGTGCACCAGTCCCTCCTGCAGCAAAGCACCCCCACAGCATGATGCTGCCACCCCTGTGCTTCACGGTTGGGATGGTGTTCCTTCTGCTTGCAAGCAACCCCCTTTTTCCTCCAAACATAACGATGGTCATTATGGCCAATCAGTTCTATTTTTGTTTCATCGGACCAGAGGACATTTCTCCAACAAGTACAATCTTTGTCCCCATGTGCAGTTGCAAACTGTAGTCTGGCTTTTTTATGGCGGTTTTGGAGCAGTGGCTTCTTCCTTGCTGAGCGGCCTTTCAGGTTATGTCGATATAGGACTCGTTTTACTGTGGATATAAATACTTTTGTACCTGTTTCCTCCAGCATCTTCACAAGGTCCTTTGCTGTTGTTCTGGGATTGATTTGCACTTTTCGTACCAAAGTACGTTCATCTCTAGGAGACAGAACGCGTCTCCTTCCTGAGCGGTATGACGGCTGCGTGGTCCCATGGTGTTTATACTTGCGTACTATTGTTTGTACAGATAAACGTGGTACCTTCAGGCGTTTGGAAATGACTCCCAAGGATGATCCAGACTTGTGGAGGTCTACCATTTTCTTCTGAGGTCTTGGCTGATTTCTTTTGATTTTCCCATGATGTCAAGCAAAGAGGCACTGAGTTTGAAGGTAGGCCTTGAAATACATCCACAGGTACACCTCCAATTGACTCAAATGATGCCAATTAGGTCTATCAGAAGCTTCTAAAGCCATGACATCATTTTCTGGAATTTTCCATGCTGTTTAAAAGGCACAGTCAACTTAGTGTATGTAAACTTCTGACCCACTGGAATTGTGATACAGTGAATTATAAGTGAAATAATCTGTCTGTAAACAATTGTTGGAAAAATTACTTGTGTCATGCACAAAGTAGATGTCCTAACCGACTTGCCAAAACGATAGTATATATATATTTTTTTTTCTGTTGTATTTTTGACTTTATGTTTTGTTTACCCCATATGTAACTCTGTGTTGTTGTTTTTATCGCACTGCTTTGCTTTATCTTGGCCAGGTCGCAGTTGTAAATGAGAACGTGTTCTCAACTGGCTTACCTGGTTAAATAAAGGTTAAATAAAAAAAATAAAAAAATAGTTTGTTAACAAGAGTTTTAATGCCTCCAACCTAAGTGTATGTAAACTTCCGACTTCAACTGTATGTCTGCCATAAAAACACACATGGCAGAGATTTCTTTTTAAAATAGAGTCTATTCTGTGGCAAGTGAGACAGATGTATGACCTCTGCTCTTTGAACAGAGCCTAACCAGAGGATGGGTGTGATGGCAGCAGGGGTGCTGGTCACCTGTCTCCTCCTCCTGCTCCTCTCCTTGCTGTGTTGCTGCTGTGTCTGCAGACAGAACAAACAGAATGAGTAAGAATGATTGTTGTTTGTATTGGGAACAGTACATCATAAATATATTGTCACATTGATTGGAGTTAAACTTATACTTCACAGCTTATTTTGTTTCTCTGTTGATTGCGTTTAGCCCTGAGAAAATGTCCAAAAGAAGACTATGTGGAGGGTTCACACGAATCAGCTCTAAACTTCCTCGTATCCCACTGAGACGGCAGAAGCTACCCAAAGTTGTTGGTAGGTCCTACCTGCACAAACTCTATGAATGTTAATGTATGTTTTCACCATGTTCTCATGATTGATGATAAACCAGCCCAATACCCAAAGACAGTTCTCTCCAAAATCAAAGTAGCATCCCTGCTCCTTGGTTTTTTTGCTTTGCTTGCTCTCTGAATGGCTGTGACAGTGAACTCAGCGTCTGTTTAAAACCATACTTAAACAGCGTCCTGCTTCCCCCCTTTTCACCCTCCCCATTTCCCTACATTCCATCGAGGGCCCCTCTGGACCACCGACAGGAAGTGGCAAAAATTATCCTAACCTGCAATGTCTCTCTACTGGAACAGGGGCAGTGGGGCTGGTGGGACAGAAGGGAGAACGTTTGGGCTGGTCCCACGTGTAAAACAATTTATTTGAAGGGACAAAATGCAGTGAATGATTATTGTTGTCAACAAATAAGTTCAAAGCTTTAGTGAATGTAGGTTCTAACGGTAAGAGGCTAAGTGCTTGCTCTGTTTCTGTTCTCCACAGTGTCCCACCATGACCCTGAGAATACTTTCAACTGTAGTTTCATTGAGCCCCCCTCTGCAGTGGAGCAACCCACCCCCTCCGGGTCATCCCGAGCCTCCTTCTCTTCCGTAGAGACCACAGAGGATGGACATGTCTATGCTGTGCCTGACGGTGAGTGTCCCAGACTAAATCTTCCCTGTCAATCCTGCATGATAGTGAGTGCTGCATTAAAAAACCCTCTGTCTGTTCTGTCTGTGACAGTCACACCTGTCTATCCTAGAATCTTAATTTCTGCAGGTGATGGGAATTTGTTAAGGCAAATTATTGTTGAACTCATCATGAAGAAAATATGTGAATGAAGGTTGCATTTTTAACATTCAGCTCCGATAATGATGGGAATGTCATTCCAAAAACAAGATAGCATTTTGGAATGACAGAACATTATGAGGTGATGTTGAGTCCTTGATTGCACACAATGTTTTTTTTGTATGATTCACCGATTTTCTGCAATGACTTGATTTTTGTCCAAACAACTGCTGCATAGTCATATCCTGTGTCATATCCTGTGTAAGATCCAGAGGGTATGACTGCGTAAACTACAGTTCTTGACAGATCATAATTATACTGATCTGCCCTAAATACACTGCCTAATCTGCTGCCATATCATCCAATTAAAGTTTCAAAAGTAAGCATAAACAGGAAAATTTTACTAATAGGAAATCCAGCATTTAAAACATTTCCAAAGCATGTGTATTTATTTCCTCAACATCTTTAGAACTGAAAGGGAGTCTGATTCTGCTTATTTTTTATTTAATTGAATAAAAATTGACGTTTGAATCTCTTCCCCCCCCTCCCCCTCCCCCCCCCCCCTCCTCCCCTCTCCCCCCCTCTCTCTCTCCCCCCTCCCCCTCCTCCCCTCTCCTCTCCCCTCCCCTCCCCTCCCCCGCTCTCTCTCTCCCCTCTCTCTCCCCCCCTCCCCTCTCTCTCTCTCCCCCCCCTCTCTCTCTCTCCCCCCCTCTCTCTCTCTCCCCCCCTCTCTCTCTCTCTCCCCCCTCCCTCTCCCTCTCCTCTCTCCCCTCTCTCTCCCTCTCCTCTCTCCTCCCCCCTCTCTCTCTAAGAAGAGAACAAAAAGAAATGGGACAGAATCAACACAACAGAGACTACAGTACTAGCTGATAATGATATCCCTGAGGTAGACACGTTGCCGGAGGACATGGATATGACTGAGCAGGCCTCAGTTAACACCAGTGAGCTGCCACTCCAGAAGTTATCAGAGAGTGAGGGCTCCTGCAGTGGCACAGAGTCAGCCACCAGCACCCTCCGCCTCAGGGCCTCTGCCCCTCAGCCACCCCAGCAGTCCAGCAAGGAGCCAGAGAACAATAGAGGGTCAAACAATGTCAAAGATAATGGGAAGCCTATAGCTGCTGAGAGGGTTAAACCACAGCCACCAGACCCCTCCACCAAGCCCAAGCTCTCCTGGATCCATGCATCTCCTGGGCCAAATCAGAATCAGATAAGTAAGGAAGAGACTGTGGCTGAGGATAACATTTGTTCCAGAAAGAAAGCCAGCAAGCATCAAACTCCCAACGCCCCCGAGTCTGCAGGTACAGATGGGGCCAGCTCCATAGGTGAGAAGAAGCCAAATAAAAGCAGACCAGGTCGGTTGCAGATAGAGCACATCAACGGGGCAGTGCAGAGTGTCCTCAGGAAAATGGGCAACTTCCGGAAAACTGCAATCCCCAAAGAGTCCCCAGAGAAGAGCCCCAGCTTATCCCTAAACAGGGAGGTTAACCAACCGAACATACACTCTGAGGTAGCCTCCCTCTTAACTGCTCAGCTGAAGGAGAAGACTCAGAGCCTGAACAGGAGTGAGGCCGGCAGCTGTGAGGAGAGCCTGTCTCACTTCCAGGCCCAGAGAAAGAAGCCCACCCCGCCCCAAAAGACCTCGGGCACCCAGCCTGGAGCTGGAAAGGCTTTGCTTCCCACATCCGCCAGCTCACAGAAGCCTCTGCCAGATACTCCATCTAAAGAAGCCAAAAGCCCAGAGAAACAAGACTCTAACAACTCTGAAAGCAGATCAGATAAGGGAGAGCCCAAAAATAAGACCCCAATGAAAAAGCCTCCTCGAAAAAAGAGCAAGGAAGGTAATGTAGACTCAAAAATACAGACTACTACTCCAAAGGTTGCAGTGATGCCACCAAAGCCTGCAAATTAGCATGGCCAGTCTTGATGTTTCTCAATTCTGGGAAAACAATGACGCACATGTTGTGATGCTTGAAAGAATTTATTGAACAAGTTTCATTGTATTTTGCACCAAATTGAATAACGATGGAATCTTTTCCCTTCGGTGGATGTTTTTGATCTTGAGAAATGTTATGATACAATGCAGTATTCTTTATATTTTAACTTTTTATATTCCTTCACTTTAGTTACTTTTAAAATCAATATATTAGTAAAAGTGCTAAGACATCAGAATACTTATTTACCAACCCTCGTTATTTTACTCATTTCCTATTTTGTTCATATTGAATAAACCAAACACCCCAAAATCTCGATTTTGCATCTCCTACATCTACTAAATGTTTTAAGTTGGATAGTCGATCCCACTGCCCAGAACTGTGAAGCCGCGACAGGACCTCAGACAAACAAGAGGTGTGGCGTATTGATGGTGGAACAGTCTGGGGTCTGTGTAGAGCGCCCTGTGGCTGTCTGACACATGTGCTACAGTTGTGTGTGCAGTTTGTTGGGGGAATGGTAGACTTTGAGGCAGCTGTAAAGGCTACAGAAGATCATATGGTGTTTAATTGAATCCAGACTGTTGGTACCGGTCGTCCAGAATCCATGATGTGACCTGCTTAGACAGGAACATCTCTCCCTTTGCTATCAGGAGTCACAGACAAAGCAAAGACACATTTAGGAGCAGCAAGGTCCTGAAAATAAGTTGTTATTAAACATAAATAAGTAACACAGTAAGTAAGTAAGTAACATTGTAAGATTGGCAGATCACTTGAAATAATACTGTATGTCCACACAGACCAGCTGCCTTGTTGTGAAAGGTAGATCATAATGAACGCATTGATAGAGGCTCCAACATGCTTTCAAGACATGACTGTGTGCATTGCTGCATGCATAGGCGCCTATACATCATTATTTAATTCTATAAGTTTTACTGTGGAAAAAGGATGGGGCCTAGTTGTGGGAAGGGGACTAGAATTACGTTTTGACTGCCTGTTTAAACATCTCCCTGGAGCTTGGTCTGTGTCTGAATACCAGGCCTTGAGAAGCAACCACCAACTCAATCCTGTCCCAGAATCCTCTTGGGAGACAGTGGTTACCATAGAGACACCCTATGAAAGCATTAACATCTTGTAGCCATTACATCGCTGGAAAAACATTTACGAGTTGAGGAAAAAAGCAAATATTTTCTGCTAAGCAAAGCAGAAAACCTAATGATAACGCCTAAATATCAGTATGACCTAATTGGACACCTTGGTCTCAGTAACAAACATAAGTTGTTACCTAAATATGGTTTTAATTTGATGTTGAACTCCACGTCTCTCCCTGCCCTAGTTCCACAGAAACTTGCCTGACCTTACCAGGAACTGAGACCCGGCTGTGGCTCTTTACCTACCTCCTTAGAAATATGAATATACAGCAATAACATATGTGGACATGGACACTTTCTGTACTACCCTTTGTCGCTGCAATAACACTCTCCGGCTCCAACATCCTAACCAATAACAAATTATTACTACTAATAAGCAGATTATGCAATTTTAAACAGACTCATTATGCAACTAAAATGGGCTCAAGTCAAATACAGTGGGGAAAAAAAGTATTTAGTCAAATCAAAATCAAATCAAAATCAAATCAAATTTTATTGGTCACATGCGCCGAATACAACAGGTGCAGACATTACAGTGAAATGCTTACTTACAGCCCTTAACCAACAGTGCATTAAATAAAACAACAACAAAAAAAGTGTTGAGAAAAAAAAGAGCAGAAGTAAAATAAAGTGACAGTAGGGAGGCTATATATACAAGGGGGTACCGTTGCAGAGTCAATGTGCGGGGGCACCGGCTAGTTGAGGTAGTTGAGGTAATATGTACATGTGGGTAGAGTTAAAGTGACTATGCATAAATAATTAACAGAGTAGCAGCAGCGTAAAAAGGATGGGGTGGGGGGGCAGTGCAAATAGTCCGGGTAGCCATGATTAGCTGTTCAGGAGTCTTAGGGCTTGGGGGTAGAAGCTGTTGAGAAGTCTTTTGGACCTAGACTTGGCACTCCGGTACCGCTTGCCGTGCGGTAGCAGAGAGAACAGTCTATGACTAGGGTGGCTGGAGTCTTTGACAATTTTGAGGGCCTTCCTCTGACACCGCCTGGTATAGAGGTCCTGGATGGCAGGAAGCTTGGCCCCAGTGATGTACTGGGCCGTACGCACTACCCTCTGTAGTGCCTTGCGGTCGGAGGCCAAGCAGTTGCCATACCAGGCGGTGATGCAACCAGTCAGGATGCTCTCGATGGTGCAGCTGTAGAATTTTTTGAGGATCTGAGGACCCATGCCAAATCTTTTCAGTCTCCTGAGGGGGAATAGGCTTTGTCGTGCCCTCTTCACGACTGTCTTGGTGTGTTTGGACCATGATAGTTCGTTGGTGATGTGGACACCAAGGAACTTGAAGCTCTCAACCTGTTCCACTACAGCCCCGTCGATGAGAATGGGGGCGTGCTCAGTCCTCTTTTTTTTCTTGTAGTCCACAATCATCTCCTTTGTCTTGGTCACGTTGAGGGAGAGGTTGTTGTCCTGGCACCACACGGCCAGGTCTCTGACCTCCTCCCTATAGGCTGTCTCATCGTTGTCGGTGATCAGGCCTACCACTGTTGTGTCGTCGGCAAACTTAATGATGGTGTTGGAGTCATGCCTGGCCATGCAGTCATGGGTGAACAGAGAGTACAGGAGGGGACTGAGCACGCACCCCTGAGGGGCCCCCGTGTTGAGGATCAGTGTGGCAGATGTGTTGTTACCTACCCTTACCACCTGGGGGCGGCCCGTCAGGAAGTCCAGGATCCAGTTGCAGAGGGAGGTGTTTAGTCCCAGGATCCTTAGCTTAGTGATGAGCTTAGAGGGCACTATGGTGTTGAATGCTGAGCTGTAGTCAATGAATAGCATTCTCACGTAGGTGTTCCTCTTGTCCAGGTGGGAAAGGGCAGTGTGGAGTGCAATAGAGATTGCATCATCTGTGGATCTGTTGGGGCGGTATGCAAATTGGAGTGGGTCTAGGGTTTCTGGGATAATGCTGTTGATGTGAGCCATGACCAGCCTTTCAAAGCACTTCATGGCTACAGACGTCAGTGCTACGGGTCGGTAGTCATTTAGGCAGGTTATCTTAGAGTCCTTGGGCACGGGGACTATGGTGGTCTGCTTGAAACATGTTGGTATTACAGACTCAGTCAGGGACATGTTGAAAATATCAGTGAAGACACTTGCCAGTTGGTCAGCACATGCTCGGAGTACACGTCCTGGTAATCCGTCTGGCCCTGCGGCCTTGTGAATGTTGACCTGCTTAAAAGTCTTACTCACATCGGCTACGGAGAGCGTGATCACATAGTCATCCGGAACAGCTGGTGCTCTCATGCATGCTTCAGTGTTGCTTGCCTCGAAGCGAGCATAGAAGTGGTTTAGCTCGTCTGGTAGGCTTCTGTCACTGGGCAGCTCGCGGCTGTGCTTCCCTTTATAGTCTGTAATAGTTTTCAAGCCCTGCCACATCCGACGAGCGTCAGAGCCAGTGTAGTACGATTCAATCTTAGTCCTATATTGACTCTTTGCCTGTTTGATGGTTCGTCGGAGGTCATAGCGGGATTTCTTATAAGCGTCCGGGTTAGAGTCCCGTTCCTTGAAAGCGGAAGCTCTACCCTTTAGCTCAGTGCGGATGTTTCCTGTAATCCATGGCTTCTGGTTGGGGTATGTACGTACGGTCACTGTGGGGACGACATCATCGATGCACTTATTGATGAAGCCAGTGACTGATGTGGTGTACTCCTCAATGCTGTCTGAAGAATCCCGGAACATGTTCCAGTCTGTGCTAGCAAAACAGTCCTGTAACTTAGCATCTGCGTCATCTGACCACTTTTTTATTAACCGAGTCACTGGTGCTTCCTGCTTTAGTTTTTGCTTATAAGCAGGAATCAGGAGGATAGAGTTATGGTCAGATTTGCCAAATGGAGGGCGAGGGAGAGCTTTGTATGCGTCTCTGTGTGTGGAGTAAAGGTGGTCTAGAGTTTTTTTTCCTCTGGTTGCACATTTAACATGCCACCAATTGTGCAAGTTCTCCCACTTAAAAAGATGAGAGAGGCCTGTAATTTTCATCATAGGTACACGTCAACTATGACAGACAAATTGAGAAAAAAAAATCCAGAAAATCACAATGTAGGATTTTTAATGAATTTATTTGCAAATTATGGTGGAAAATAAGTATTTGGTCACCTACAAACAAGCAAGATTTCTGGCTCTCACAGACCTGTAACTTCTTCTTTAAGAGGCTCCTCTGTCCTCCGCTCGTTACCTGTATTAATGGCACCTGTTTGAACTTGTTATCAGTATAAAAGACACCTGTCCACAACCTCAAACAGTCACACTCCAAACTCCACTATGGCCAAGACCAAAGAGCTGTCAAAGGACACCAGAAACAAAATTGTAGACCTGCACCAGGCTGGGAAGACTGAATCTGCAATAGGTAAGCAGCTTGGTTTGAAGAAATCAACTGTGGGAGCAATTATTAGGAAATGGAAGACATACAAGACCACTGATAATCTCCCTCGATCTGGGGCTCCACGCAAGATCTCACCCCGTGGGGTCAAAATGATCACAAGAACGGTGAGCAAAAATCCCAGAACCACACGGGGGGACCTAGTGAATGACCTGCAGAGAGGGTCTTTCAGCATGACAATGATCCCAAACACACCGCCCGGGCAACGAAGGAGTGGCTTCGTAAGAAGCATTTCAAGGTCCTGGAGTGGCCTAGCCAGTCTCCAGATCTCAACCCCATAGAAAATCTTTGGAGGGAGTTGAAAGTCTGTGTTGCCCAGCGACAGCCCCAAAACATCACTGCTCTAGAGGAGATCTGCATGGAGGAATGGGCCAAAATACCAGCAACAGTGTGTGAAAACCTTGTGAAGACTTACAGAAAACGTTTGACCTGTGTCATTTCCAACAAAGGGTATATAACAAAGTATTGAGAAACTTTTGTTATTGACCAAATACTTGTTTTCCACCATAATTTGCAAATAAATTCATAAAAAATCCTACAATGTGATTTTCTGGATTTTTTTTTCTCATTTTGTCTGTCATAGTTGACGTGTACCTATGATGAAAATTACAGGCCTCTCTCATCTTTTTAAGTGGGAGAACTTGCACAATTGGTGGC